TAGAGGCCTTTCATTAAAGATTAATGCTCGTCATATTCATTAAATCTATATAAACGAGGTATCTAGGTTGTGAGTATAAGTAGACATAATATTGCTGAGACAGATTATTGGTTACCTGGGAAAATCCATTGTACACAATAATGAAATAAGAATTATGAACCATAGTAATTAAAACGGGGTGCGCCAGAGACAGTTATAGAGAGCATGAAGGGCAGATCGTTTCTCTCCTCATTGAATCTAATTTTGTGTAGTCCTTACGATGCAATTGATTTCTAATATTTCAGGTTATGAATAATGGGTTTTAGCTTTTAAAGATCACCATTTCTAAATAAGGTGTGTATATAGTAAAGTTAAGCCTAATTAATATTTCGGTAATTGTTTAGACACAATCCCTTGGGTTATCTGAAAATGAGGACCACGTGTTTTGTACACTATATTACTTTTTTTAAAAAACAAGGGGGGAAAAGTAAACGGGAGGTATTTTTTGTTTGTAACCTTGTTAGTAGTATAGTTTCAAAGACCCACAACACAATACCATTGGTAAGAAGATGAAGGCATAAGAGAAGCTTATGAAAGAACATCACTACTTTTTTATTAGCTCGTTCCGATTACATCTACAAGGGAATTTAACTAAAGCTAACTGTAGCTCCTAACGGTTAGTACTTCACTACAATATTACAGCTCACTAAATTTGGTAAGTAACTTAATACATTTATCTCACTAGTTAAAGCAGCTAAGTCAAAAACTAATTACAACAAATGGAGTACGACAGCAAACTAATGCTCCAATCCATTTTCATTAATTGCAACTAGGGTGGAGAAACAACACGTCAAGCATGGAAGTATATAGGATAAAGGGACAATTGTCTGATAGGACTAGGGTTATGTCGGTAAATAATCGAAGTTATTCGTGTAAGTTCAATATTGGATTATATGACATACGAGTTTTTTGTTTTGTAAAAGCTACAGTCGTAAAGAATACACAGTCTGTGAATAATAAGGGGATATCATATATAAGCTCACATCGTGTGCCCAAAAGAGGCCGGTACCGAGGATGCAGAAACAAGAAATCGATGTACAGGGTTGTGTATACACGATCTAGTTACCTATAAAGTCGAAAGTATTGTTTGTGCATTACATGCTTGCTTTCGACTTTGCTTCTGCAAAAATCGCTTAGCATAAAATATATTAGGGTATGATCTTAGAGGCACGAATCGTCGTAAAGTTTGTGCTTCGCATGACGCTTGTTATTGTTGTGTGAAAGGTAGTGTTCAAGAGGACATATACTAGATCTGACCCTTTTTTTTTTTTTTAACTTGCAATTCGATGTGGAAAGGAGCTGTATAATGGGTCTATGGGCTTGTGAAAAAATATATGGAAATGTACTGGCAAAGCAGTGATGTTTAGTCTGAAAGATCTACCACAAAACGTTTTTTTTGGGGGGGGGGAGCGGGACGGGGACGGCGCGGGCAAGGTGAGGTTTGGTATTCGCTCGAAACACCATGGAACCAGAAATGGACTGGTCCCAGGGATTTGGGCTCGACCCAGCTAAAAGCCTGGACGTAACTAGATTTAGGGTTTATGGTTTTACTTCAGAAAACCCATGACACTCCAACCCCCCCCAAATTGTTACAAAAATGATGATTGGCTAAATTACATAACCTGGGATCTTGAACATTATTGCATTATGACAGTGTTGGCATAGATGGCCGACCATCGAAAAGGATGGCTGCCTCAGACCAACCGCAAATTCAAAGACTAAAAACAGAAAGAACACAATAAGTTAATTGATGATGCCAGGAGGTGTCAAATTGAGCCAAATAAAACATTTTTGTTTTGAGAAGTAGGAGTTGAATTACTGGATTTCCTGCTCAGTTTCAGCCACATAATTTTTCCACATCAGCTTCGGGATCCCCGATCATTTCTTGATCTTCTCAATGGGCAGACCTGAGTCAATAAGATTAAAATCATTAGAATTAAAACAGTGAGTTCCAATTTAGCACAACTAATCAATCATTCGTGACTCACCAAGAGATTCCATGACATTCTCGGCGCACTCTTTGCTATACTTCTTCTTCTTCAAGGAGCGTTTGATATGAAAATCAGTCACATAATCTCACCAAACACAGGACTGGTTGCTTTCGTTGGCGACTCTGTGCTCGCAAAGCTGCCTCTACTTCTCGAAAACCACATCGTTCCCTTGATACCCTTCTCCAAAATCCTGTTCCGTGGTTTATGCACTGAGACTTGCATTGACTGCTGAGAATAAAAGCCTGAGGACAATATCAGGTAATGTAGTATGGTATAAACAAAGTGTAGCCTCCCTTCTCCAGGATTTGAGCATGGCCCTTGAAACTTTTCACAAAGTTCATCTGCTCATCGCAGCAAGTTCCACACTCGTCGTTGCTGTTTGTCCATAATTCATACTCAACTCTCTGGTCAGGATGGGGCACTGACTCTCTCCAGTCCAATTTTATCACGTCGTCTTCTTCTCCTTTTTTCAAGGCCTGCTTCAAGCTCTCGCCAAAGGAGCGCTCTATCAGCGCCGAGGGGATTCCAATTTTCTCTACATATCCATCTGCATCAGTGCTCTCCTAAGGACAATCCATGGTGATCAGAGATTCATCTATGTTATCCGCAACTAAAACCGCCGCTGCTCCGGCCTGTTGACCGTTCCATACCTTCAAGGCAAAGTAGCACTCTAAGAGTGCAAGAAAGCGGAAAAAGAAAACCAATCAACACTAGATTAAACAACAAAACTTTTCATGCCTCATTTGCTCTAGCTCAAATCACTCAATATACTTGAAATTGAAACATCGTTAATCACTCATGAGATAATTTGATTTTGAGTCTTTCTCAATTGAAGACTAAAAGGGTTTCTACAATGAGAAAAAAGTGACAATTTTGTCGCCTACAAAATGCTATAAAACAACTGCAAAAGTAGAAACAGGGGAAAACAGAGCACCTTTTTCAAAACAAGACTCAAAAAAGAGTCTTACTAAATTCATATAAAAATCTAATCTCAAAAGCAAATAAAACATAAAGATAAACATAACCATAAAATGGAAATCTTAATTCAAAAACTAATCAATCAAATCCCCAACAATCAATCAAGTCAAGTCAACAAACTTTAAACTTTAAAAGCTCGTATACAAAATCATTTAAGTTTTTATATATTATTTTCTAAAGGGATGGTATTTTTTAACGTTAAAATTTGATTTAATTTTTTTGCACAAATTTTCAATTATGAATTCAATACAATCTAATAATGTCGGAGTTACTGATGTGACAAACAAATACCTACCTCTATATTCTCTCTCATATTCATTGGATTGCAAAACAATCACGGATAATAAGTTATCTTTCAATTTAAGTTTATTAAAAGATTATGTCCTTTTTCTAAATTATAATTTTAGCTAATAAAATGACTTAGGCCCTACTATTTTCCAGAAGATGAACTCCCTGATGGGCGGAAATTGGCTTAATAAATGGATTTGAAGCACATTGCTGGGCTTGTTTTTGGTATATTATGTGAAAAAATTCCTTTTAAAAAAAAAATCCCTTAAAATGTCAAGGGAGGATGGATTTTTAACCATTGTTGTGATTAAAAATATAAACAGAAAAAATTTATAAAATAATTTTATGAAATTTTGAAAAATTTTAAGTCCATAAAAGAAACAAAGTCAAGTCAAATTAATTATTCATCTTGTATAAACCAATTATAAATTTTATTCACGTATTCTTGGTAAGTTTCTTTAATGGTTTCTCGGTGAGTTTGTAAACTTAGAAACTTCTAACGTTATTGGTTTGACTAATAAAGAATTTACGGGAATAATCGCCAGGAAATCTTAAAGAATCTGCAAGTTCTAGTATACTTTCAGGAAATTAATTTATTGATTATTTGGTAAATCTCTGTATATATATAATTACCTGCCCTCATGATTTTCCAGACCAGAGTTATGGCCTTGTTCATCAGTAGGTTTATTTTGGCACATTATGTGAAAGATTTTTAAAAGAACCTTAAAAAATTGAGGATTTTGAAAATTGTAGGGGATTACACTATAATATGTAAAATTTATAGGATGTTTTATGAAATTTTTGAAAAAATTCGTTCCATAAAGAAGCAAAGTTAAATGAAATTTAATCATTTATGCTGTTTAAACTAAACATTTTTTTAGCTAATCTTCTTAATCTTATTCCTTTAAATTCATAGATTGAGAACTTTCTTGTTGCCAAAAAAAATAATAATAAAAAAAAAAACCCATCCTACAATCCATCAATAACCATCCAAGTAATAAATTTAAGTTGACATAAGATGTTTTTATTGAATGGTTATTTGCACGTCTTCTATACAAAAAGAATATACGAATACCTCTTCGAACTCATTAATGTATCTTCTCTTATATTTTTGAAATTATACAATTTTTATAAAATAATCACTTTTAGTAATGTGGCAAAACTAATCAACATAAAGAAAACATCATAATGATTATAGTTTGCATAATGGTTTTGCAACTATACAAATTTTAGATTTTAGTATAGAATTGTTAGGTTTTGCACTGTAAATTATATTATCCCTTTAGCTGGTGCATCTCAAAACGGTGTCAGAATTATTATTCCGTGACTCAAAGCCTTTACTCCACTTCTATGAGTGGGCATTTCCACCAGGTTAATGGACACAGCACACAATCTCTTTCCCACCGTTCTTATCTTCTCTCTTTTATAGACATATGAATTTGGACTTTCTCCTGAGTCTATACTATATCTGTTCTCAAATATATATGAAAATTCTCGAATACTAATATCATGATTCTTCTCATTAATCACCGTTCAATTAATTGGTGAAATATATAATTTCAAAACTTTTCACTTCATAGCATCGCGAATTTGTCTTTTAACAGTTAGTCAGAACTCGGAAGTAGCTATTATTGGTATAGTCCGAACTTTTGTGAGTTTATTTTGGGTGCAATAGTGTTTTTTGTAAACAAAAACAGTCAGAATTCAGAAGGCATAAATGGGTGTCAGCGTTGGTTTCAGCTCAACTCATCTTCCCATTTTGCCAGTTTTTCTGTTGTATTTCGCAGCACTTTTCTGTCTAGATATCATTAAGCTATGTTTCAGTGATGCAAATATCAGTATCTTATGCCTAGACTCCGAGAGAGAGGGGCTTCTCTCCTTCAAAACAACCCTCACTGATCCTTCTGGCAGGCTTTCTTCTTGGACAGGTGAAGAATGCTGCAAATGGAATGGCATCGAATGCAGCAACCGAACTGGTCGTGTCACCAATCTCAACCTCAGGAATCCGTATCAGTTAATTAATGGTGGAGTAGGTGATCCAACGGTTTATAAGAGGTCTTGTTTGGGTGGAAAAATCAATCCTGCTTTGTTGCAACTGGAACATTTAAAGTGCTTGGACTTGAGCATGAATGACTTTGAAGGAACCCAAATTCCTGAGTTCTTTGGTCAGTTTAAGAACTTGATCTATTTCAATCTGTCATTTTCATCATTTGGTGGAAAGATTCCTCCTCAGCTTGGAAATTTGTCAAGTTTGAAGTACCTTGATCTCTATGCAGATTCATACAGCAGTACTCGTCCACCGGAGTCGCGCGCTGAGAATCTAAACTGGATTTCAGGTCTCACTTCCTTGAAGTACCTTAACTTAGGATTTGTGAAACTGGATAGTGCTGGAACTGATTGGCTGCAAGCATTAAATAAACTTTCTGCCCTGGTGGAGCTACGTCTGCATTGGTGTAAACTTCAGGTTCCACTTTCATTGCCATTCATTAACTTCACTTCACTTTCAGTTCTTGATTTGTCAGAAAATTCTTTTAATTCTGAAATCCCTGAATGGTTATTCAACCTTACAAGCCTTTCCAAGCTGTATCTCAGATGGAATTTCTTTAATGGTCCCATTCCTGGTGAGTTTGCAAACCTGAAACTTCTTGAAGTTCTTGATTTGTCTAACAATTTGGACCTTGGAGGCGAAATTCCAAGTTTCTTTGGAAATCTTTCCAGGCTGAAGAGTTTAGATCTTTCTGCAAACAATTTGAACGGTGAGATTCAGGAGTTTTTGGGTGGTTTCTCAAACAGGCCAAACAACTTAGTATTTCTTGATCAAGTTCTAATTCACTGGAAGGAGAATTGCCCGAATCATTAGGAAATCTTAAGAATCTGAAATTTCTAGTCCTTTCTGGCAACTCTTTCTGGGGTTCAATTCCATCATCTATAGGAAGCTTGTCATCATTGAAAACATTGGACCTCTCCTACAACAGGATGAATTGCACGATTCCTGAAAGTTTCGGCCAACTCTCTGAGCTCGTTCATGCCGACCTGATGGAGAATTCCTGGACAGGAATCTTAAGCGAAGCACATATGATGAAGCTTGGAAGATTAGAATATGTCACAATCACAACAGAACCAACCAGGTACTTGGTTTTCAATGTTTCCTACAAGTGGGTTCCTCCTTTCAGGCTCAAATTTATTCACTTTGACAACTGCCTGGTGGGTCCTTTCTTTCCTTTATGGCTTCAAGTTCAAAGTGAACTTGCCTCTGTTAGCCTTAGAAATGCTGGAATCTCGGACACTATTCCAGGGGACTGGTTTTCAAAACTATCTTCTCAAATCACCTATTTGATTTTATCAAATAACCAGATCCAGGGAAAGCTGCCACACCATTTGGAATTTCCAAATTTAAGGGCCCTTGATTTGGGTTCTAATCATTTTGAGGGCCCTTTCCCGGTTTGGTCCACAAATGCATCTGAGATCTCTCTTCAGGACAACTTATTTTCAGGATCCTTGCCTGAAAATATTGGCAGCCTAGTGCCAAGGCTGCAAAGACTGTATCTTTCCTGGAATCGTCTTGACGGAAAAGTCCCCTCATCAATGTGTGAACTAGAAGGTCTGCAAGTTCTCTCCCTTCGGAGCAATAAGTTGTATGGTGAACTTCCCAACTGTTGGCACAAATCTCGAATGTTATGGGGGATTGATATGTCAAACAACACATTAACTGGCAGCATTCCAAGTTCATTTGGCTCCTTAGCTTCCCTTAGTGTGCTGATGTTGAACAATAATAATCTTGATGGGGAAATCCCTTCTTCCTTGCAAAATTGCACAGGAAATTTGGTCATTACTGTCGAGCATCTTTCAAGGATCTGGGCGTTTAGAAAGAAGCTTCTCAACAACGGAAACATGTCTTCAATAGCCGCCATATGAATTGGAAAGGGCTCTGTTGTCCTCTGAACAGCAGTAAAAGAAAAGTGTTTTAACAAGTAGTCAACAGTCTCAAGATAACCAACAGATGCAGCCAGGTGAAGCACCGTCTCCTCTTCATCTCTTCCGATGATGAACTTTGGCTCCTTCCACAATATATTTCAAGATATTTTGCATTTCATAAAAACAAAAATAATAATAAATAAATAATAAATAATCCTTGTCATTAGAGGTTTAACCACATCAATAGAGAGTTAAATGTTCATAGTATTCCAGGTCATTACCGGTCGCCGTCTTTGCACGGCAGTAGCACTGAGAATGGCAGCATGATAGGTGATTTTCCTTTAAGTTTCTTCTGGGTTCACAGCTTCAGTTGACTCTAACATAGATTTGAGACATATTAAGGAACCAGCGTCAGCAGCCAGACACAAAGAAGTCTTACTTTCATTGTTTAGATTGAAAGAAACTTGAGGATCTGCTTCGATTAACGCTTAGCAACGGATGTATGACCATTTATCAAGCCTCTTGCAAAGCAGTATTTCCATCTTCATTCGTTATCAAGAAAGAATGATCTATCATAATCATCTTCGTGATCCGTAGTCGAAATGATAACGGTGAATTGCAATCATCCTCGCTGACTTGCAACTCACATCCTTTGAAGTTAAAAATGGACAAATGAGAGCTCTTCAGTGGATAAATGTCCAGCTTTGCAGCACATGCAGAGCAGTATCTCCTTTCGAGTTCTTCCTATCGAGAATTGGTAGACCGATCTGAGCAATGAACCACAGTCTTCCTGCTGTCAAAACTCGCGGCCACATGGAGCAATGTATTGCTGGAGTCAACAGTTTCATATAGGAAGTTGAAGCAAGCTCTCCACAGTTTTATCACTCTGAAAAAAAAAGTTGCGGATGGAATAACATTATCTACCTTGGCAGCTTCGTACAACTTCACCTGTTTCTCATAGACTTCTGTCAAAGGGTATTCAATGAACGAAACAGAGACAATAACAAAAACAAAATATAATAATAAAACAAATCAAATAGTAAACAAGAAAATAACACGCGCGATTTACCCTGGTTTACCCATGTGGACTACGTCCAGCTGAGTTAATATTATTGCAATATGTCTCACCTCTCTCATTTACAATGAATGAATTGCATGCCCTATGATTTGCTATCACTTTCATAATAAGAGAAAAATATGTTATATACTAGGTTTAAGAGATTAAACCTAGTTTTATAAGGATTCCTTAAACCTAGTTTATAGGATTTCTATTCCTAAACCCAACCCAATAAAGAATTAGTAACTTAAAGAAATCCTACGACAGAACCCCCGAGTGCGTCTGCGTTACCCATTATGTTGAAGTAATCGACAACTCCAACATTCAACGGCTGTGGCCAATATCAACCCGATTTCGGGTTTAAGGTTGGTGCCTCAGGTGGGTTGATTTGAGTCTTTCCTTTCATAAACTAGCAAAAAATTTTCCATAAACTGGCAGTTTTTTGCTTTCTCTGTTGTATCCTCCGGTTGGCCCAACTCTTCAGTTCAGCAGCGCCTCCCATAACCGTGAACGAATTCTATCGGAGATGAGTTATTCTAAAATATATAAAAACAGGACCCAGGAGAACTATTTGTAGAATTCAAATTTTGTATAAAATACAGTTAAAAAACTCACCCCGGAGCTGGGCTGCGTTGATCTTTTCACAACTCAACTGCTTCAAGAAGGGAGTAGCCAATGTGAGTACTTGACTTTGCCTAAAATAATGAAAAATAAATATATTTGTTTCTTAATAATATAAAAATTAGACGGTTTAAATATATATATTACAATTATAATATTGATTTGTATTAATAACAAAAAAATACTAAACTTCGACCAATAAGCTGACAAATTATATAATGATTCGCATATTTAATTTAAAGTCCGAATGTAAGAAATTTGCCAAGGCTTTCATTTTAGGTAATGATATTTGATTAATGAAAAATAAGATAAAATTCACGAAATACTTATTTTGTAATCAAATTCACTAATAATAAATATTTTTAATTTTGTTCACAAGTCACAACATTGCAAAAATTAAAGAAAAGTAAAAAATAAATAAATAAAAAAGAGGGAAAAAAAAGTAGGTGAAGAGCTTAAAAATGCGGACGGGATCATGGCAGAAATGATGAATAAAAAATAACTGACTAGAAAAGGAAATTGATGAGAGTGTGTTTGGAGAAGCCACCAATATTATAACTGACAAGTATTAATTATTAATTTTGGAAAAAATTAATTCAATCATATATATAGATATTAGACTAATTTTATCACTTCAAGACTCTTATAATCCTTTGCAGGCTGGACCACATTTTCACACGTGTAAGCAAAGGGTATAGCAGTTTCTTTATGGATATTTCACGGGTAATTTCAATTAAAAGGAAATTTTGAGCATTTCATGTTCCCCTCTTAAACTACCTCTTGATAACCCTACGATTCACACATGCATGACTCAAACTTAGCATTTCAACACAGCCAGAAAATTCCCAAGAATAGTCCCGTCGGGCCCAGCTTCTCTCTACCTTACCATTTTCGTTTCATTTAAGCGTTCACTCCATATAAAGAGAACATGCAGCCTGAAATCACTTTTTGAACCAAGATTAGTGCAGTTTCATCCAACCAGTTCAGCCGAGATATATAAGTAAATAAGAAACACGTCACACCCAATTTTTTTTTTTTTAAGCTATTTATTTCATTTAAAAACATACTTCCAACACCATCAAGTCTACTGTCCAACCCCAAAACATCAAGATATGCTCCAGCAACACAACCGCCATTTTATTACTACACAAACACTGGTAACAACCCAGCCGAAGCATGAAGGGAAAAGATTTTTAAACAGTTTCACAAAATAACCAGATCTCAACATACTAAACATGCAACATGATTTATTTTAGAATCTTGGCGACAGCATGAACACAATAAACTTTATTAAGTCAAATCTGAGACATTTTCACTCATTCCATGTTCAGCGAGGACATGCAAGCAAAGAAATCGCACTTAAAAGCAAGATGCAACAAACGGCAGATATGGCACATTACTTAACATGCAGATAAATTTAAGTTTTAAAGAAGAATTTTGGTTTGATCCACTCACCAATTGAGATTTCACCCATTTTGGTACTAAACATACAGATTATTCAATTTAAAAGAAAATTCTAAGGATTTCAACCAAAATCTTAAAGGAATGACATGCAGCCCGTGATTCAAACATTGGATGCAATGTATCCATGCAGTAAACTCATTCTTATTTTCAAAACAAAACTCAACAATTGACACCTAATTTCAACACCCATTTCAAAACCCAATTAAATGTCCATCTCAATACACACATGCAAGCTTGAATATTGAGAAAGAGGTTTTGGTTTTTGCCACTCACCAATTCAGCACAGCCGAACTAAAATTGAAGCCTCAAGCACTCTTTTCTTCACACCTAACACAAAGGAAAACCAAGAATCAACAAAACCGCACTTAAATTGAAGAAAAGATGAAGAACTTCACCAATTAAACCCCATGCATGTGTTACCGAAACCAAATGGGAGTGATCTATTTCAAACTTATCCTCCATTTTTGCTTTACTTTCACTCTCCTCTCGGCAAACATATTTTCCTCTCTTCTCTTTTTACTTTTCTTTTCTTTCTTCCTTCTTTCTGGGTCTTTCTCTCTTCTTCTTCATTTTGAGCACAACTCAATTATATAATAAAACAACTTCTTGAAATTATGAAACTGTTCCAAAATTATCTTATTCTCACATGACCCACCACATCAGCTTTTTGTTGAAAAAAAATCAGTTTATATTTTATTCTTTTTTTTAGCTTTACACTTTTAAAGAGAATATTATAAATATAGCATATCAAGTATGCAGCCAAAGAAGGGTTCTTGAAGTGTAGAAGTTAAGGAAAGTTCTGATGGACTTTTGCTGGGAGAAATTTTGTTTCCAAGAAACATTTTATTCTTTTCCTTTTACAATTCTAACTCTCTCTTTAATTGAGATTGATTATAGAAGAAGAACATAATTCTAACAGATATGGTGGAGTGATGTGCATTAAATTTATGTAACACTAAATCTATTAAACGATAGTAAATTATATAGTGCATACATTATCAAACTGATTAAAAACATTCAAACAAAGTAAAACTAAGTAGTTAACATTTATTAGAGGAAAACTTATTGTTACTATTTCGTTTCTACTGGTATTTATTAGGACAATAAAGTCAATTCACATGATTGTTGTTACGAATTACGTAAACTCTCGCACAACAATTGTCGTACTTCTTTTTTTTCTTCTAAACAAAGTTTTGTATTTTTGTATTTTAATATTGAGATGGTTATCTAAAAGAAATTCTTTTTTTTTTTCTTAATCTCAATAGCCATTAATATATTTTATCATTTACATTAGACCATTAAATAGTGAACAATTTTATCGATTTCTCACTAGTAATATTTATTTATTACAGTAATACTTCTTCTTTTTAATTATATTTTTCTAATTATAGTATTACAAATGTTCTGTCCACCAAACTTTTTCCTGCTTTTAATAAATTATATCATGAATTTATACCAGGTTACCAACCGATAAAATATTGTTTTTAATAATGTACGAGGTTGATTCATATTATTAATTGTTAGTGAATAGCATCTTAAAATATATAAATTACACCATAGTTTATCTAATGATTAAATAAATTTTATTTTTCAGATACCTAGTGATCTGTTAATTTAATATATATGATATCTGTTGATGAGTGATTTGACACCAAAAACTTGCATGTGCAAATGCTAGAGTTACACGTGAGTGGATTGTGAGGAGTGATTAAGATACTGTGATGTAGTTGCATGCAAGTCGTAAATTAAAGTTGACAAAAAAAAGTTTATAATGTTCGGATGCTATAAGTGACGTCTACATCCATTGTGATTGCATTATGGTTTGTTTTCTAATTTGCTAGTAAAGATTTACAAGTAG